AATCTACTACATTGTCTGAAAAGTACTCTACAAATCTATAAAAAGACTTTTTTTTTTTTTTTAACTAGTCTGGTAGTTCAAAAGGAAGTTACTTAACTACATCAGTACACAGACACTTAACATTCAGTCAGTAAGGCTCTATGAAAAGAGCTTAAAAAATTATCTACCTGAGTTTGTAAGTTGATACAATCATTAATAGTAGGTCTAAGACCATGCAGGTACACAAAGCATTTTTAGAACCATTATTGGTTGAACAATGATGGAAAAAGATGCCAGTCTGGCTTGTTAACCCGTAAGATCACTTAGAGACATCAATGTACATTTCCCACCATAACATTTACCAAACCCAACACAGCCTACTGTTACTAGGGGTCTCCTGTACCCACTTCTGCCACCCCTCAATATGAGCTGGGGGAGGGGGGGAAAGGATTATTTTTTCCTCCAATAGAGTAGTCTGAAAATGTGCTTGTGCAACTTAAATCCACGGGTAAAATGGGGTACGTTGCACGTCACTACTTAACTTGCCTAAAATCCCAAGACACCGGTTTTAAACTGCCTCTCCTGAGTATGTCTGAACCTAAGCTGCCCTCCAGGAATAAGAACTTGATTGCTTTGTCATGGTGGAAAAAATCCCATTGAGTCAAGCAAGCTACTAATACAATCACCAAGTCAATAAAACAAAAAAAACAGGACCTTATTCCCTTCAAGCATTTGGTATAGCATTGTGTTTACAGCAATCGTAACACCAGTCCTCCCAAGCAGAACACACTGGTAGGCATGCATAAAAGTTTTTCTCTTGTAGAGAGAAGACCTAAAGGTCTCAAAGAACAAGAACACTGCAAATGAACATGAAGTATGTCACGTCAGCCAGTAGTGTCATAATACTGAACAAAAGTTTACACTTTGATACCTCGTAATGAAACCAGAACAAACACAAAAGTGTTTCAGGTCTCAGTCCAGTTTGCCTAAACATTTGGTTTTATTTACAGATTCTCTAGCAAGGGCAGCTTAATATCTCCATAGGCAGGCAGCAAAAACAAAAGCAAACAAAAGCAAGCAGTCACCACATAGTACACACTTAGTATCTCTGTTTCAATTAAAATGCTTTTCCAACAGGCAGGATGAATCCTTCCCCCAGGCAGATTCTCAACTATTTCCCAAACCTGTCTGATGCTAAATTGAGGTAGATGGTTTACTTCTGCAAAGTGAGGTAGAACTTCAAGCAAAAGATAGTGGCATCTCTAGTTGTGCATTTTGTACCACAGCAAACTGGGTTTCAAACTCCCAAGGACTCAAAGACCAAAGGTACAATATTTGTCTAACGCAAGTACCAGTGTTCCTTTTTTATACAGTTCCAAACTGTTTGTCTAAATATCTCTACTTTTAAATACCCTATTACCTTTTGGCACCATTTGGCTTACACTCCTTTAAAAAATAAACAAAACTTTGGCACAATATTTTTTTCAAACTAGAACTGAACAAAGAAATCTTCTGATCAAAGTTATGGCAAGATGAGCCTATAAACCTGCTCTCTTCAGAAATCAATTTTGGTTTAACTGTAACATAACAGACTGGGCCCACTTTCCTTCAATTCCAAGGGGATGCCACATCCAAGTGACCTATTCTTCCTCCCAGGCTGATTATGTCTGGCCCTAACATGCATTAGTTTTCAGGTGTTACCTTCCTTTCCTTGCTTTCTTTAAAATTTTCAGGTTTATGGGCTTCCTTAAATAAGTTATATTTAAAAGGTACTAAATAGAAAGGAGCGAGTTATGTGAAGAACCTGCATTATCAAGTACTGAATCTGCTTCAATTTGCTACTAAAGCTCCTGCTTAAATAATTCTGAGAAAGGACGAGATTGCTTTATATGCTGAACACCCAAACCAGCCACACTGATTGCTGATAACATTTTGTCAAGCAAATGGTTTACAGAAAGCCACTGGTTTAACCTGGCATAGAGAAAATCCTTTGGGAGTTCGAGTAGACAGCTCTGTCCCCCACATTTGCTGCTCCCCAACGAAGAGGCACACACTCACTTCACCCTTCTCCAGGCCATTTCCCCGAGTTAAGAAGGTTACTCTGAATGCTTGTTTGGTTTGCAATCCAGCTTCCAAGCCTTGCTTTTCCTCTCTGCATGCATGTATGTTATGATACTGGGGTTTAACCTGAGAATGTGCATGGAAAAGCAGAGCAAGGTTTGAATCTCATTTAAGTATGTTACTTTTTAATAAGCCTCTATGGGGCATCTGATGTTGGCATTGTATATTAGCACTACTTTTTTGTCATTGCATATAAAACACTCCATTTTATAAGCTACACTACCACTTTTCAATGAGACCAAGTGTGCTTAGCACTATCTATTACAAAGATAAGAAATTCTTTTGGGTAGCTAAATAGTAGTGTTTTTGAAACGAAAAAGCTTCCCAACACATGAGGTCAAACACTCAAGGTTCGGTTTGCAAGCAAATCCCACTGAGTTAAATAGACAGCAACTTAGGAAGAGTTCAAGTCATTCCTCTTCCTGACTGAGCTGGGCTGGGGGGTTGTGCAATAATGGCTCCATTCAAAACAGCAAAGGGCAACTTCAGCATCTGTCACCTTCCACACAGTGCAGGCTAGGGGGGCAAAAAGTTCCTCCAATTCAACACAATCCTGACTGCACACTTAAATTTTTTAAATTTTTTTTTTTTTAATGCCTGGAAAAACAACTCCCTTCTAGCCCCAGAGAAGGGCAAGCCCCACAAGCATTTAAGCACAAGAGCATTTCTAGGACACTTCAACACTGTCAGCCACTCTGGTCAAAGTATGTAGAGACCTGACATTTTCATTAAGACATGACAGGATAAATGCAAGGACACTGCAGACTAAACATTAAAGCTTTATAAACCAGTTTTCTTTGGTATCTAGATCTTGCAGGCTGATAAATTTTCACAGCCCTAGCTGCAAATAATTTTTGGGCTGATTAATACAAGACAACCATGAACTTCTGTCAACTGTAGGCCACCCCCAAGAAGGGAGGTGTGTACATAGGCAGAACTTGCAAAACTTGAAGGTAAACTAGCTCTCTCTCATACACATTTTGTGTGGCCACAGAAATTTAATGACAGACACCTGTATAAAAGATTATCATTTCAAGACTGTTTTTAAACCATGCCATCCTAAGATTAAGCCTAACTGAAACACACTGCTTTGAAGAGTTTGCTTCCTTGAGGCTTTGACTGAAAGGCAGCACAGTTGATTTATATCCGACTTAAATTAGGTGTTTTCCTCACCCTTCTTTTGAAAGAGGTTTTTCCATCTCATGAATCTTTTTTGTCTCTTTCTGGTCTTTTAGTTTAAGCCTCCTGTAAAGTGGCAGCTCTCTCTGTCTGCACACACCATCGGTAGTTCTACAAAACCCAGAAAGTTAACACTCCTTGGAGGGGAAAAGCAGCAAGAAGGAAAGTGCACCTTGTGATTTCTCACGAACTTGTGAAGAGCCTTTCAACCTCAGGTCACTTTTGTGCATGGTGGCTGGCAGAGAGAGGAACCCTTTCCTTGCAGGATGGTTAAGGCTCTTCAGACTTTTTGAAAACGACCATATTTACATTTCAGAGATCTTCTCTTGCAAACAGTAAGGTAAATCCCATGGCATGTCCAAACCCAAGAGGAGCACTGACACATGAGGTTTTTCCATTGCAGAGAGACAGAAGAGCCCTCTGCTCCCCACTTCAAACAATTCTTATTTGCCAACACCAGAGGGTGAAGCTACAGGTCTGTAGAGACCATATCTGCGTGAACAGCTAAACCAGAACGCATGAAATTGAAGAATTAAACCAAATCCTTCCAGGGACTCAAAGTCACGTTTTGCTAAAGAGATCTCTATTCTCCCCAAAAGTTTCTGCTTCTCAGAATATCTGTTTCTATATCCCCGAAAGGGCAAACTTCCCCCTGTCTCCAAGCTTTAAAGGATCATATATGTTAATTCTACACAGAATTCTTTGGTACTGCCCTGGGAAAAAAAGCAGCAAAGTTTCACCTTGATGCAGTTTGCCTTTAGCTGGTACTGGTAACTCTTCACTCGGATCTGTAGCCAGAGATCCTGAAGCAGGGAGCTATAGGCCCACCCCACCCACCCTAAAAGCTACAGTAGATATTTCCAAAATCTTCAGTCCAGCTCTTTGGGGAAGCCAGAAAATGATTAAAAAAAAAAAAAAAATAGTCACTGATAGAGTTATTGCAATCCTCTCTGAACAAAAAAAACCAAACCAAAACAAAGCAAAACAATTGTTGACTTCTCCAAAACACACCCTGAATCTCCAAAGCTGTGCTTATTTTTTACTTTTGGAAAAAGGTACCACTTCTGTTCTAACAAATTCACATGCTATTCCTTTAAAGTTTCTCTATGGGGAGGGGCAAAAAACACTAAGTCATTTCACAAGAAAGTATATCAAAAGGGTTTGATTTTCCCTGTTTCAATGCTCCTCCTAACCTATTCTGTTACCTAGATTGGGGGCACTGATAAAAAGAAACAGTAACTTTTTTAAAACTAATTTAGCTTTCAGGTGAAAAGGGGTAAAAATTAAATTCTCAATGATAGGATACATTAAAGGAAGCCTTGCTTTTTATCTGAACTTTACAACGACTGCACTAAGCCACTAAAATGAACAATTTGGTTTAAACTTAAAGAATTTTTGTGCATTTTCATCAGCTTCACTTTGTGCTGTTAAATTACCATGTTTCAGTAAAAAAATACACAGAAATGCCAAAAAAGATGCAAACTTGTTCTTCCTGGCAAGTGAATCCCACTCACTTTCATAAAACGTTCAAAGTTGTTTGGGAACAAGATGCTGTGCTCGCCAGTAAATCAAACACACTGAGGTATAAAAAGGAGAACAGGAAAAAGTTCTCTGCTGCAGCAGCAATTAAAAAAAAAAACAAAACAAAACAAAAAAAAAACCAAACCAAAACCCCAAAAAACAAAAAAGCACAAACCAAATCCAACAAATGTCCCTCCCTCCCATGTCCCCACCCACAGAACTGCAGAATGGTCAAGAACACAAATTCTCTACGAACACCTACTACCATTTTCTCCATTTAAAAAGTTACATAGCGCCTTTCTTGGCTTAGTCTAACAGAACTCACCACACAAACCACCTAATGTGCACAGCAACACTTGTTTGTGCATGAAACCCCATCACGGGGAAAGAGGTAAAACGTTCTGAACTATGAGTATGTGGGGATAAGGGAGGGAGCAAGAAACCGGGGAGGGAAGGGAGGACAATGAGGTAGATAGAATTCAATTTTACAGGCTCACTCCCTGCAGAAAAGGTAAGTACATTCATCTGTAAAAAAATTAAAGATGAGGTAGGTTTGAATTAACGTTGTATTTTTTCATTTTCTCTTAGAAGAATTTCCCTGAGACAGTTTCTTCCTAATTCAAACACAGATTAGAAGACGAGAATTCGATTGTTTCCAAAGTCGACCACAACAATCATGCCATCAGGGGTGACAGCTATACCTGAAGGACGGTCCATCTGACCAAAGCCGCTTCCCTGAGTGCCAAACTTGCATAAAAAGCTACCATTGGACTCGAATATCTGCACCCGGTGGTTCCTGGAGTCGGCCACGATGATGCGCCCTTCCTGATCCACCGCCACTCCCTGCGGGCGCAGGAACTGGCCGTTGCCGGTGCCCTCGGAGCCCAGGAAGCGTGCCGACTGGCAATCTGGATGGATGACCAGGAGCCGATGGTTGTTGAAGTCCGTCACTACCAAGTGGCCCTCGTGATTGAACGTCACACCTCTGGGGGAATCAAAGTGCTTCCAGAGTGCCCCTTCGAAGCCGTACTTGTTAAGGAACACGCCGTCGGGCCCGAACAGCTGAACGCGATGGTTCCTCGTGTCAGAGACCAGGATCTTGCCCTCTGCGTTGACAGCCACATCCCATGGGTAATTGAATTGCCCGTTCTTCGTTCCTTTCTCCCCAAACTTCAGAATGAACTGCCCCTCGAACGTGAAGATCTGGATGCGATGATTGTCCTTGTCGGCCACGACGATCCTACGCGAACTGTCACAGGCCACGCCGGCAGGGCGATCGAACTGGCCCGGCCGGGAGCCCAGCGTGCCAAACTTGTGATGGAAGGTCCCGCACGGCTTGAACACCTGGATGCGGTTGTTACTGCGGTCGGCGACGATGATGAAGCCTTCTTTGTCAACACTGACCCCCCAGGGGCGGCAGAGCTTGCCGTCGCTGTCTCCCTCGCTGCCGAAGGACAGCCCCGGCAGCCCGATGCCGATGTAGCTGCGCCCGGACTTCACCACCACTTTGAAGGGGCTGTTCTCGATGTGTTGGTTGCACATCATCACGGACACCAGGTGCTCTCCCTCCAGCTGCGGACGGTAGCTGACCAGGTAGGTCCCGTTCTGCTGATCGCTGACGTCCGCCCCAAAAAGGTTTCCATCTGGGCCCATGACCACTGCAGAGATCATGTCACCCCCTGAAAGGCGAGGCTCCCCGTCGTGGTCGTAGCCCATCACGGTGAACGAGGCCACCTTGCCCTGCAGCGCACGCTTGAGACCTTCCCCCGTGGCTTTGGTCAAGGGAGCGAAAGCCCCGCTGCTGACAAAGCCCATTGATTTAATGGCCATATACAATGCCTGGTCAGGGGGGGTGAACATGATCCTGTCGTCTTCCTGTGGCTGGAGAAGGCCTCTGACGTTCTTCAGCTCCTGCACCTGAGCCAGCATGCGGTCCCGAGCCAGAAGAATATCCATGGTACGACCCTCCTCCAGGACCTGCTGGACAGCACTAATGGTGTTATCCAGCTTGTTCAGGTTCTGACGCAACTTTTCAACTTGCAAGTAGAGTGACTTGGCCTTGACTTGGCGAATCTTTTCCACCTTGTGGGAAATGGGGGAGAGAAAAGCACACTTTCATCAGGAAAGACAGACCACAACACAGATTTCCATCAGTCTCCCTGCTACATAAATGCCAGTTGGACAGTTGTAAGCTAAACACGGCTGAGGAACAAACCTCTAAAAATGATGTAGACAAGAAGAAACAAGGGAAATAATTACTTACCCAAATTTAGGATTATTAGCCTCTCCTACCCTCCAGGCAAAACCATACATTCCTACTTTGCAGATCTGCTGCATCAGAGTGACATTTGAAAGCGAGAATCGCTTGCTTACCGGCAATTACTTGCTTCCTCAAAGGCTATTCTGTTTTCTAGTAGCAAGGTTTTTGACAGATCATCCTGATGCACATCTCACTCAGCCCCCGGGGAGGGCAGAAGTTATTGCAGCCTCTCAAGAAGAGCAGAGGCTGAGGCTTCACTAACCAGAGCTGAGACCAGTTTCAGAGGGTGGGTTGCTGTCCAACTGAGCTGAGGCTGGGAGTCAGCATCAGCTAATGTGTGTGGGCTCCTGTCCATGTCATTCCCCTGCCTGCCAGAACTGTTTTTGTGTGACTGGATAATACCAGACATCTATCTCCAGGGATTTTTAGGGTCCAATTAATTTAATATTTTCTTGTAAACAGTGGCAGTTATGCTGAGCTTGTGCTTTAAAACAGGATGCTTTGTAAATGTCACTTCAAATAACACAGAAGGTTGCTTCCAGCCCCTGCCTGAAGGACTGCAGTTGGTGCAAAAATGTCTGTTTTCTAACTCGTCTATATAAGCCTGTGTCTAAATTTACTTGTGAAAAACCACTTCTGAACACCTGGCAAAGACACCTGCTTCATAAAACTAATAGAACATGTCTTTGATTTATTGTTGCAGAGGTACATCTCCCTGATGTCTGAATACCTTTTTGGCCACAGAACAACACCTGGAATGCATTTTAGTGAAGGAAGACTCAATGTCTGAAGACTCCTTGGTTGGACACTGACTAGATAACATATGTACAAACTTCCTATAAGTTGAGGGATGTAGGTTTTACCAGACTGTAAAAAAAAAAATTGGAGATGCTTCTTCCAATAGCTGTCCAAGGCAAATTACTGATCTTAGGTCTCAGCTTAATCCCTAGATTCAGCTCTGGTATACAAAATTGTTTAATAGCATGCTTGACACAAAAGCTTGATAGCTGAGTTTTTATTTTGCTAAAATAATTAACCACCACATTTCCTTCTTAAAATAACATTTTTCAACTTGAAGAGAACTTGCTCTCAGTGCAGATATTCCAACAAAGTGCATTTGTGCAGCACCATAGGATAAAAAGAGCTTAGGGGCAGATCTTACTCCTCTTGCACTAGGAATACCTTAAAAGAGAAAGCCACCACGCTTCCTGCAGAAGGTTAACAGTGAAAATGAACTCATCTCCCTCAATCCAAATCCTCAAAAAAGCAGCATTCAAAGTACACTAACTATATAAAGTGCAATTTTAATCTTGCCATTGACACTTACAAAAGAAAACAAATCTTTGCTTGCAGGTGACCACTGAATTACTTTTCTGGAGTAAGAAACTTGCCTGTTACATCCTTTCCTCCTCTCAAAACACAACACATGCATTGTGGCTGAAATGAGCCCATCAGTTCAGAATTGTGCAGGTACTCTTGCTGGAGAGCACTCTTTTGTTATACTAGTTAAAAAAAAAAATAGAGGGAGGATGCTACCTTGATTGACAGTAAAGGTTTTTAAGGATGGGGAAAAGTTGGTCCCACAGAATTTCTACTAGACTTTCTAAAAACAAAAAAAGGACAGGATAGTATCTACAGCTTTGCTCCTGTCCTTTATAAGGAGTGGATTGGAAAACCAAATATACCATGTACCTGACTCTAGAGCAGCACATATAAGACATTTTGAAGACATTGTTTAGAGGGGATCTCCCCTCGGGGCAGCTGCTGGGCCAGCAGAGGGAGTGCCCAGCCCACCTGTGGGGCTGCACTGCTCTGAGGATCCAGCAGCCCCAGCAAAAACCCCACCAGCCCCTCTGATTAAGGAAACCTGCAGTTTCCCTCGGATATCAGAATCCGGCTGTGCAGCAGTTTGAGTATTTTTTCAGTTTGAAAAGCACTTGTCAGCACTTACAAATGTAAAGGTGCATACCTTCCAGAGCAGCTCACACTCCCGCTCCTCCAAGGCCTTCTTATGTCTAGTGGTCACTACTTTGACTTCAGACTGTACCACCTTCGCTTTCATCTCGACTTGCTCTGCCACAGCCTGGGCCTGTTCAATACTCAGCTGGGGAGAAACAAAGACAAACACATTTAAGGCTTGACCAAACCAATAAAAAAATGTGTCAGGGGACTGCTGGTTGCATTTCACTATGCTTGCAGGTAAAGGCGTAAAGTGACAACTCTTAGTTTCTTACTAGACCTTCACACATTTCACATTTACTTCAGCCTAAAAACTGACAGGGATTGCTTAAATACATCTATTACATGGAGTTTACACCTTCATTGTGCCTTGCACTAACACCACAGCACTAAAATCCCTGTGCAATTCCAGCAAGCAGCTAATATGGTGAACAAGAGACTTGCACAGAAATTCATACTCATGTTTTCTTCCATGTAGAAAACCCGGTTTATCCACCCCCTCAAAATGGTTCAGACTGCTGTTGTGTGATGGGTGCACTTCAAGTGAAAAATGACACTGTAGGGAACAGACTGTGTGTCAATGCATTTGAGCTGCCCCCCTAAAAGAGTATGGAAATAATTAATTTTAAAAGAAAAAACAAAGAACAAATCAGTAAAAAGCATTCATATAGTTATTCACACCTTGGGTAGAGACCAAATTATTTCTAATATAACCTTGCAATGTTAGTATTTTAAAAGCATTCTGTAGTAGTATTCTGCAGAATGCACCCAGAAAGAATATGTCTCTTCCCCCCACTCCAAATTAAAAATGTTTTCCTCCAAAAATTCTTCCTAAACTACTCCCAAGTTTTACAAAATATTACAGAAAGGAGCATAAAAACAAAGACCAGGCAAATCTGAAGGATCAGTTCCCAATGGAACAGGTTCAATAACAATAGCTAACTGTTTTTTCAACCCTTTGTCATAAAGTGAACCAGCAGACCAACCTGTGACCCTCAAAGAGGTTAATAAGATAGTAACTTATTAGTGACAAAATTCTAGAACAAAATGATGGCCTGTGAAAGTATTCAGCCTAAAAAAGAGAGGGGTTCTTACAAGTATACGCACACTGGAGGGGAGGGCACTGAGAGGGCAGAGCCAGGCTTCTTCCAGCAGTGCCCTGTGACAGGACCAGAGGCAATGGGCACAAACTGGAACAGAGGTTCCCTCTGAACAGTAGGAAACACTTTCTTTGTCTTCAGAAATGCAGGCTCATTGAAATCAGCTAAGAAGGAATTTAAAGGCTTTCCCATACATTCAGAACCTTCAGGAAGATACCCTCATTTTAACTGTGTGTATGAGGGTGTACCAACCTAAGAACTACCTGTTGCAACAATCTATGAAGTACCCAACGTGATCCAGCATCATCTAGAAAGTCAGACAGTACACTGTCATCATTCACTGAACAGTTATTAGTATTTTTGAACTCTCAGTTCAGCAGCATCTAAGTTTATGCCAAGAACTGAAATGCTAAAACATAAAATCTTAAATATACTTGGACATTTTCATTCCAGGTAAGTTATTTTAAGACAACTAGTCTGAACTAGACTTACTCTTCCAGGTCACACAGGAGATCCTTTCCTGAAAGAACAATGAAGACTAACTTGGCCAGGTGATTGCTCTCTAGAGATAAGTTGAAGACAACACTGACAAAATCAAACAAGACAACATTTCTATTTTTACTCCAAAGAATTCTCCTGCAAACTGTCAGAGGAAAACAGCAGTGCTACTTGACAGCCAGCCTGCAGACCAAGGCTCAGTAAGAGGAACAGGTCTTTCAGCTCTTCCTCCTTCAAGAGCTCCCAGAGTCACTTTCACTACAGTTTTAACAGGGAATGTCTTCAAACTCATAGACAGCCTACATACCCCAGTCCCACTGGAGGCTGCCCTGCCCTCTCACAAAACTTCTGGCAGGCAAATTTGACAAAAAATGAAAATCTCATTACAACATTTAGCAAAGAAGACATGAAATCACAACTGGCCAGGGATAAATCCTTCATAAAAGCCAGGAGGCTGCAGACCTAGCTAGAAGAGGTCACATATAACAATTCTGCGCCTCTATTACCTCCTCTTTGCAATTCAAATACAGAAGTTGCTCTACTGCATGGGAAAAGCATCCATTTCTTCCAAAAGAGACCTGGATTCCCATCAAGTACAGCAAAACACCTTCCTTCTCTTGCAAAGAGGAAGTGGTATCGTCTTGAGAAGTGTCAGGGAAACCATCCACTCATATTCCAATTTTAGCAATGATGTCTGGGGAATCATAAAAATCTTGATTTACTTATTTTTTGCTTTTTGTACTTAGTACCCATTTAGAACTGTGATCTGTATATACTTATCCTTTACTATACCTTAGAGATAAGAGAAATCCTGACTTCCCTCATTAATCTCCACTAAAACCAGAGTCCACCTTTCAAGAACTCCATCATAACAGAAGGAGTAGTAATTCCCTGTGGATGCTGTGGTCTTTTAGCTATAAGAACCAGTTATGCACAACTGGTTGTCTACTCATGTCATCATCTGGATTTACTTTTACTTGCCCAAGCATGATCAGCTCAGATCACAGGGGATGCCCAAAGTGCTAAGATTCTAATATCACCCAGGATATTCATAAAGTTTTGGTAGAATTCAGAGACTCCTGTACTCTGCCCAAATAAGCTAAAACAGCCTAGGAAGGCTGACCAGCATCAAACAGCGGAGGTATGACAGGGGGAACAGCAATAGCAAGTTATCTATATCTGAAGCAAAAGCCAAAAGCATAAAGCACTATTTTTGGGAGTCTTCTTCACATGGAAATCCCTTGTTCACTTTGATTACTGTAAGATGTCAGAGTTCTGCCATGAAAATTCATTCCTGTGGGCATTTTCTATGTGGAACTTGTATTGGAGCACTCAACTTTTTAGGGAGCATGTTAAGCAGCAGTGTTTCTTGTTCTGGTCAGACACCAAGCAATCTTTTTGACAATAAAGAAAATTTGTAAAGAAAAATAGCTTTTATGATGCTCTCACCTCATGGCATGTCTTAATTTTCCCAGTGCTAGTGAATTAGATGGTCAACCAGCTCACACACTCAGGAGACAGAAGACAAGGCCTGTGTTTAGCCAAGAATTCTGCTGGGTTACTGAATGTGAGATGGAAAACAATTGTTCTGTTTCCTGCTGTTGGCCAATAAGTAAATAATCTATTTGTACCTGTCCTTCTCCACCTGTGGCTTCTCAGGGTTCTAAAGATGGCCAATACCACTCCCCATTCTATTAGAGATGTCACCAGTGCTTTGTGTTTGTTAAAACAAGTGAAAACAAGTAAAACACTACTTTGCAGTGTACCTTGTAAACTTCAGGGTTGTAACTGGTACTTCAAATTCCTCAAGAGTAAAACTGAAGTAGCAGCCATCCTTGTGCAGGTGACACATTCCAGGGGGCCACCACACAAGGAAACTGCAGACAGAGCTTCCAGTGAGGCAGACAAATGTGTTTGCATGAAGGAAAGCAATGCAGACATCCATCACAAGCTGTAGCACTGTATTAGGAATGGCAAAGTGATGACACAGACTCTCTAGCTTGGGTTGCAAAAGAGAGCAAGTTTTATCCTTCCAGATCTTCTTTTATAGACAGTTCTGAAAAGGTAAAACCTCTCACTGGTCACCAAACCAACACATCACCATCACTGGTTGGGAACAACAGCCCTCGACCATTTCTTGCAAGTAAACAACAAGGAGACAAACAACACCTGCAAAGCTTGTTTTCCTTCTCCAAGGACTGTTTGGATTCCTCCTCATGATTTCCCAGGCCAGGGTGAGAAAGTTGTGTGACTTAGTTTCACACAGGCTCAAGCTAATGCCTGAAGCCTAAAAATCTCTTATTTGACCACTGTCCGTTCCCAGAACTAGCTATTGCTACCAGCACATTTCAGTTTTGAGTAAAAGGTGGCAAACAGAGTTGTATCAGAATGTGGGTGTCCTTTGCAAGCTCCCTTTAGGTGGACATCTCTGTGAGCTCCCCTTTATCTACATTTCACCACCTGAGGGAAAAACCAGTGATGATCTTGCTCCAGTGGCTACGGCAACTGATGGTACAACGTGAACCAATGAAGAAACCAACTGCAAGAGTCAGAAGTAGCAGGGTAGCATTATAGAACTTGGCCATACTTCTGGATATCCATGCTGACCACAGAGGTGCCCAAATCAGGACTTGCCATTTTTGTAGAATGGCAGCATTCAGTAATTTTTTGCATTTCCTGTCTTCTGTTGAACAATAGGAACTAGAGCCTCAAGTTATAAAAAAAAAAAAATTCTATGATTTCATGTTTACCTAAATATTCCTATGGAATATTTAATGTTCTAGACTCCCAAGTTTTCATTAGTTCTGCTTTTTTAAATGAGAAAAAAAAAAAAAAAAACAAAAAACGATCACAAACATAAAATGCTTCAGGAGAAAGAAAAACTGTTAAAAAGCCTGTGTACTGAAAAGCTGTGACAGATGTGCTGATGCCCTCACTGTGTGGTTTCTGCTGTCTGATACTCAAATCAAACCAGTCTGTCCACAGTTATGTCCACACAGCACACAGAGGCTAACTCAGGTCTCTGAAACAACAGGGCCTGTTAATGCAGATGCTGAGCCAGGATGTTAGATCACACCAATTCAGTCCAGGAATTTATCCAATTGAACAAACTGCAGCACAACACACCACAGTGGCAGCACCATGAGATACATTAAGGCTGCTTATGGTTTTGTACTGCAACTCATCAATGCTGGCTTGCATGAACATATTTGAAAAAGTCCTTAGGATTTTTTTATTCCATTCATCCATCCAAAGATGAGAGGGAAGTATAATTTTTCAGGCATTAATTCTGACCTTTAAGTTTCCCAATCTCAAGTTTTCCAATAAAAGTGCAAACCTCTGGAGAGAAAATTCAAATTCAAAAGCAAATTTTGGTTCTACTGAGGAATTCTTCAGTATTTGAAGAGTTGAATGGATGACAGGTATTGAATAAAGAATATTAAATATACACTTTCCTACCTCAGTGTGTAGAATTTGCTGTTTAACCATTAAGGAATTTAAGACTAAGTTAGTCCTACTCAGAGGGAAGCAAACTGATGCTGAGATGCTTCTTCTCTGACAAACTCCTTTCTGGATTTTAAAAGCACATTAAATACAAAAAAATCCTGAAGGAAACTTTTTGGTATGTCTTAAAGTAGCCCTTTTCCACCAAATGGGAGGTGTTCCAGCCATAAGTGGATTGTTTTCAGTTCCTGAAGGCACAAAAAGATACAGAGGGCTGGTTTCACTGAACTTTTCCAGTTACTTATCACTGTGTCAAAGCAGGATAAAACAACCAGGACAGAACAATCTGTTGGCTTTCTCCAGCATCAAGAACTGGATACAAACTTCCTAATGTTCTTACACTAGAAAAATTAACTGGAAGATCCTACATAACTGCAGAGAAAGGTACCAGGATTAAGAAGCTTAGCAGTGAATTTGCAGTAATATTGGGGGAGCTATAGCACAAATCTCAGATGGACCAATTTAAAGGTTTCAGTCTAATGTGTGTAAAACACTAAAACATCCTCACTTGAAGTTTCTCACAAAAATAATTTTAAAAGAAGCTTTGATGGAGGGCAGGCTAGAGGCCAGGTTTACTCATGCCAGATACATCTAAACAATCATTTTGGTTTGTATTGCAAGAACAGACTTTTTGCCTACAGTTTTAGGCAGAACAGTAGTTTGGACAGTGACACATGTCAAATCCATCTTCCCCAATAACCATCTGCTCATGTGCTGCACTGAGGAACTCACTGAAATACCACACAAAACAATGACTGAAAGTAGGAAGAAATTCAGCCTCTTGATATAAATCCCAGCTTTTGAAAAGCACACTTCATTTCAGAGTCTCAAACCTGCAAGCCTGACTTCAAAGCCATGCACTGGGCTGCCTGAGCTAACTCAATGTGACAACCCCAGAACGATCCCTCGCAGCCCAGCAGTGCCATCCTTCTCAGGTATCGGCCTCCCAGCAGCACACATCCATATGGCAACCCACAGGGAAGCTCCCACGGAAGGGCAGAGGCTCCAGGCAACAGATCAGCTTCCTCCTCTGGCCAGCCCAGCTTCTTACAGTACCCCCTCACCCCCTGTAAAGGTGCTAATCTATTTCATACCACTTCCCCCACAAATTTGGGAGGGAAGCTCCTAAGCCTTTCAGGATAGATAAGAGAGCAGCTCCCACTGTGTTCTGCACATGGCCAGTCTCACCAGGCAGTGAGATGCTCGCATGGTCAAGCACCCCAGCAAAACCAATTATAGCCTCAGCTAAGAAAAAATTCATTTTGTTTACCAATAAACCCCCTTTTTAAGACATCTGAGATGAACAAATTAAAATGGATTTTAACATGTTCACCTGGAAATTGACCCTAAATGAACACGAGCACCCAGTGCTTTAGTGTTATGCAAGTGCATTAGATTACATGCATACATCCATACATATATACAGTTACACACGTATAGATGTATTTTAAGAAGGTGACATTTTGAAGAAGCCATCTATCTTTCACCATAACAGATTTACGTTCAGTTTGTGACCTAGTCCTTGGAAAAAATTCTGAAAGAAGACAGCTAAGTGTGCACTTTCATGAGGTAAAACAAGGCAGCGGGACACGCTCCCCATATAGAACGGCAGCAGTCCCGATTCCTCCCACACCATTTATCCAGTGTCAACTTTGGCTTTCATATCACCCTGTGAATCAATCTGAGCCTCTGAAAAGGCTGGAAAAGTATCCCAGATAGGAGCATAGCTTTCTGCTGAAATAAGACAGAGTCCTACCAGCAACCCAGTTGGATGTTGCTGCTTCGTTCCCTGGCACCATCAATGGTCCTTGCAGCACTGCAGTGAACCAGCCAGGGGGCTGACCCAGCCAAAAAGTAAACCCACAGAAAGGCTTCCCTTTCAGCTGGATCAGTTCACCCCACAGGCACCAGTCCTCATGTTAGAGACAGGCTTAGGAATGCAGGCCAGGACCTCATAGCACAAGGAAGCATGGAAAGCCTTCCATTGCTGCAGAAATTTCACTCAGGAAAAACAAGCAAGCTTCTTGCTCTCAGGCTCGCTCTTTGTTACAGAGGACTTCCACTTCCTTGAAAAGTGAGGTTTGGACTCTTCTGGAGTGACAGACTACATCAGGCTTCAGTGGATCAAGAGGTTGAAATGTATCCCAACTCACAGGATTTTTTTTTTTAAGTCTGAAAAACAATCTTTCCTCCAAAGCCACAGGAAGAGCTTAAATAAACATTTCTTCCTAAAAGCCTTCAACTTTGGTTAACCAGATACTCTCCAGCCAGCTGACTCATGGCTTGATTTCCTCTCTCCTGTAATGCCCTTCAAATTCCACCTTTTCCCATTTACTCCCAACTACCCCTCCTCATCCATCCTCAGTGTCTCCTATCAGGGGAGCCATCACTTTCAGAGCCTATTAAGAAAGAGTTTATGGAACAGCAGTATGTATCAGTCCCACTAAGAAGTGTTACTACCACGTATTACTTTTCAAGCCTCTTAGAGCTCCAGTCATGTGTTCCTCATATTACAGCTTGTACTGGCATTCAATTCTCTGTTGACTATTTCTATACTTTTAACAAAACCACTCAAGCCAATTTCTTTTAATTTAGAGACTACTTATTTTAGAGTTTGTTTTGAATTCATGCTGACAAGCTGTCTCCTCCCTTGGATAAACATATAGCTTCACAGCCATATTGTCCCAAGAACAAGGAGAGCTCTGCTCCATGGAAACTTTTGAGTTGAGCACCTCTGCTTTTAACAGTATCACATGCTCTTCTGGCTGCTGCTGATGTTGGAGTAGCCGCCTTGGACTGAACAATTTTCCTATTCCTGCACACGCACACTAAGATTTCCACCCTGGTAACTTTATCACTGATCTGTTTGCTCACTGCTCTTCTTCTATGCAGTAGTCCAGATTAAAAACGCCATTAAATTAATGACACAGCTCAGTTCTTGAAAGCATGTCTCAATTTACAGATCTTTTACACAAGCTGCTCAGCTAGCACTTCCAAGACAGCCTCTTAACCTGGATGGGCTGTAGCCAGACCAGGGCAAAGCTGCATGAGCTAAGTTCAGTAGAATTGCTTGCTCAAGATACATGAGTATAGCCAGAACCACGTAACTTTTACCTGCACCATCAAGTAACAATCAGCTCATTACAGTGGCAGGAGCCTTCAGCATAAAAGCCAAAAAAAAGATAAGGGAGGAATGAGCAAAGTAAACTCACTGGGAAGAAAATCAGACACAAAAGCATTTATGCAATAGTAGCAGAGTGGTGTTCCATGATCTCCTGCTAGTTTCTATTCCAAAAAACAGTCCTTACATGATTTAGCTGTACCAGTTAGATGATTAAGAGCCCTGGAGGTCAAAAGCAATAATTTAATTACTAACAGGCAAGCCCTTGTCTAGGACAGCCTGGAGAAATCAGAACACCGCACCAGTGATGGTCTTTAAAGTAGTATCATTCCTTCCTTCTTGTCATTTTGGGGATGTGTGAAACATTTCAGTATGGATACTGCTGAAGAGCTTTGTAACCCAGTTTAAAACAGATCTTGGAAGATGCTATGTTTTCCAGGATTCTGCCTGAAGCTGGAGTGTAAAGTTAGCCATCCAGTGCCAAAAACTTGTTTACTGTGCTGGTGCAACAAGTTAACATCAGAAGTTGAAGGAAATGTCAACAACTGACTATTATCTATACCAACATAAACTATTATCATTCCACTGGTGCAAAGACTTAATGAGAGACCAATTAGTCGCTCTTGTTTCACCGAACAAGCTTAATTCCCTCATTTACTAGAAACAAGCAGCAAAGGGATGACAATGAGCTTTGGCTTGTTTTAATTATTGTTTGTACCTTGCACATGCCAGGGAAGCTCACCCAATTTGGAAAGTAAGTTAACTCCCTATCCAGAGTCTCCCTATAGACAAAGCTACTACTAATATAATATCAAACCTACCACTAGGTATTATTCAGTAAAAGTAAGTAATTCTACATATCACAGCAGTTTAATTCCCTATGAAAATGCCTTCTCTGGTTTGGAGCATTGTGCTACCTTCTTTCCAGCCCTTGCCAGGTATTAATAAATATATAATTATATAGCTATAAAATACAGCTGAGGTAGAACACAGTGATAGGCAGAGTGTGCATCTCTGTGTGCAGAGCAATCCTCACATGGAGATAGCTCTAGATCCTCTAAGCATGCAGGTTAAGGAATTTCACACCAATCCAGCAACTCATTAGTATTTTCTATTTGGTGGCAACACTGAAGACATAACAGGAGTCAAAGGTAGGCAGAGTGCTAGAAGCTATACAGGCAGGAAGATGCTCAAAGAAAGTCTCAGTTGTAAAAACAAAACCAGGTTTGGCGCTGCCAAACACAAGATCTTTCTGGAAATGCTTCACACTCAAGAGCATTTGTACAGAGCTTCATATATATTGTGATTTACATGACAGGATTATGCTGCAAGAATGCAAAACTCATATAACAGCACTTTTTATTTTCAGCTCCACCGCCACTTCTGTCAGAGATCTGAGAAAACAGAAGGAGTGAGAAGACTGACAGCAGAAGCAGAGAGCTTTTTGCCTTGACACCTTGCCCTGTAACAGACAAGCTGGGGGGGAGAGGGGGGAGAAGGAGGAGGGGGAAATAAAGTACACAAGTTGGGAGTATCTTACTTGAATAGCCTGTCGTCCTTGCTGAGCATCTGCCAGGAGCTGAATGGTGAGAGTCCTGGAGTCCTGTAGGGCGTCTTGGAGGTAGATAAAGCTGTGACCCACATGTCGTCCCATGGTACATTCCCGACATATGGGGACAGAACAGGTATCACAGTAGAAATGCAGTACCTGGAAGAAGGAGAAAAAATAAAAATCTCACTACATAGAGAAGAATCAAAAAGAAAACAGAGTCAGGATGTGTAAAAAAAAAAATCTTAAAAAATATAAAAAAATCCAAAAGCTCAACTGTAAAGGAGATGGTTAGAGGCAGCAGCAATGGGCAAAGAGTTCACAATAGTTTCTCCACAGCTATCCTTCCCAGTAAACTCCAAATCATGCATAACAGTTGGATGGAAGTGTCACTGTTTTCTTTGCAATACAATACTAGGAAGAGTGTCCGCATCAGCTCCTCTTAAGAGCGGAAGCCATCTGCCAACACTTACAGATTGGAGATGGCATCTATGGCAAGTTTCAGGTGAAGACTTTTCCTGCAAATACAAACACCCAGTTCTCTTAAATGGGCCATTCAATAATCAATACACTGGAGAGCTGCAACACCAGCACTCCCACTGCTCACAAGGGGAAAACCAACCATGCATGCCAAGAGCCATCCTCTCTTTTCAAAATATGCAAATTCCTTGCGTTCAGGACAGCAACAATATTAGGCAAAACTCCCCCCTGCCACTTCCATCAACAAAGCAAAAAACCTTTGCTATGACAGTGTTTTCTATGCTAGTGATGCTTCGAGATGCTCGAGTTGGAAAACAAGACTGGAACTTTGTCATGCCCAATCAGAGCATCTGAATGCTAGAGTGACCTGTGGCAACCACTAAATCCCCATTCTGCTCACAAAGCACTTCCAAACCCTGTATTCAAATCACAACTTAGACCTAGATGCTAGCCTAGAAAGCTGGATCCATTCATCAGCTGTAGCTGCTCCCATTCCATCCAGTAGAGGGAAGTAACACACAGAAACAGCAACTTTCCACGGAAGCCTGTTTTCTTAGAGGGAAGCAGAAATCAGCTCTAAGTTTTTGTTTCCAAAGATGCAAATGAAGGAGCACAATACTCCAACATAAGAAAGTTCCATATCCAAGTCTTGCTGCTAACTACACACACTATTTTTCTTACAGTGTAATAATCAAAAATGTCTATTACCATGGAACAGTACAATGGCACAAGGTTTCCTGTTAAGAACAACTTTTCCATCACCAGATATTTGAAGCCTACCTCAAAGAAAGAAGCAAGAGCAGAACAAAGATTGGGCAAGTGTTTGATATGCCTGTCTTCTCCCAGCTGTCATCCAGCCACTCCCGACTCCAGCTTGATATGGTGCTTAACATCCCCCTTTCCCTTCTCCCTCAAAAGCAAGGGGAAGGACAGGACAGGTGACTCCCTTGGATTGCCTGGGCTGCATAAAGTGACATTTTAAGCTCCTATAAGCGCAACAGCTGAAGTGGTATATGGATTAATTTCTCAAAGGGGTATGTGTGTGTTCCTGTGCACATGTCAGATTTTACTAAGATCTGCCTCTTTTTTTTCCTCTGAAATTAAATTTTGCTGTAGGGAAACTGGAACAAACTTACGTTTGCTTCTGTTCAAACACTAAACCCTCAAGCAGTGTCTCAGATTGCCATTTTCCCCAAGTAAAAAACGCCTTAGGTCTGAAATACATCGTTCAAACACATCGTCCTGCTCAACTAGAGGGATGCTTGTCCTTACACTGCGGTTGTCTAAATATGTATACAATGTTCACTTACAAACAAAATTCCTTTTCTGTTGAAATTACAGGGAATGTTTATTACATGTTGCTGAATAACTCCACTTAAACAACTGAGAAGTTGAGAGAGAATGAAAACCAAGACAAGGTATCAAGTTAAGTCATATGAATCTGATATACTTTAAAAACATACAGCAGGGATTTGGGGCCTCAGTCAAGCAGAGCAGCTGAAAAGAAAATGGTGACCATATGAACAGAAGACCAGAAGGAAGTAAAATCTATTACTAGGTTACTATTAATACTCAATACCAGAAGCAAAAGCTCAGTCCACTCCTGCTGCAAGGTAACAGCAGCCACTGGGTAAAAGAGACACCCAGCTGTTCAAGCCAATGAAAAAAACCAAGCTTAAACTCTTCAGCTGCCTCCTGCCACCCACCAAAATGTGGTGGGAAACATCACTCCTGAATTTAGAATGAAGAGTGACAAGAGCCATATTCTCATTTAGGAAATTAGGGAGATTACACAGGACACGGCAGGGGAAGGTCTTGGGTAAGTACTACAGAGCCATTGATAAGGTCTTATTCATTTCTTTCTTAGTCAAACAAATAAAACAAAAAAGGTAAAAACAACCTAGATTTAAAAGAGAGAGCAAAAGAGTTAGCAAGCTTGGGCAAAATGAGGTAGATATGCTGGTCTGATCTCTATCACTACACTTCACCTTAAGTACACAGGAGGGGAAAATCACAAATGCACAGTCCTGTGTGCTCTCTGTGGGGAGGGGAGCTAGCCACCAGAAAAGCATTGAAGGAGGAGTCAGCTTCAAGGTGGACTAACAACTCCCCCAGAAACTCCTTTCTGGGCACAAAGACAACAAGAGAACCCCCCCAAACTTGGCTGGGGTACAAGGGCAGCTCTCCTCCTGTGGTCAGTGTCACACACACTGGTCAGGAGTGGCCAGCAGGCTGTACATCAGCTCTGCCCAGCAAAGGGGGCACGCTCCCAGAGAACAGAGCTGGCAAGTCTTTGGCTGTGCAGGGGGTTTGTGCCAGCTGGGCTGATGGGGCTTGGGCACAGCATCCAACTTGCCTGTGCTTGCAGCCACGGCCAGGAGTTTGTTGTTAAGCTCAAGCCTGCTCACATCCCAGTCCCTAGGTCATGGACACAAAGGTCACATACTGCTAGATTAAGTTTCTATGCCTGGTTCTAAACAGAGGGGGGCAGGGGGAGCCAGAGCTCCCCTTTCCCCCCATCCCTCAAACAAGCAACTCCCTGGGGGGGAAAGAAAAGGATAATCATACTGAAGATAGGTGTAGGACAATACACAGCTGTGTTCTCAGTTCAGAACTGATGCACACACAGCGCACCCAAAGCTGGCAGAGCCCCCCTTCGTCCAGTTTCAGCAATGTGAGATGGGCTCCCCACATCTCACTGCTACTGCAGCATCCCAATGCTCCCTCCCTGCTCCTCACAGGACAAGTAACAGGGCTGGTCTTGAAGTGTGGATGGAGTAGCAGGAGGGAAAGGAGGAATAAGACTAAGTCTTCCTTAGTGGACATCAGCTTAGACTCAGTTAAAAAATTCCACACCACCTCAAATAAACCCAAACCAAAACACAAGCTCCAACAAAACAAAAAACCAAAACAAATGCCTCAAAGGAAAGTCCTAAAAATTCTCCCCCCTTCCCTATCTGAAGAGGCAGAGATGATACAGCCAAAAGATCCATCAGGCTGTAAATTAACTAATGTCTGGTTAATTTCACTATTTACTCAAACATGGGAAAAAAACCTGGTTTATAAGCAAACACCTTCAAACATTGCTGGTTTTTCCAAACCACATGAATGCTCTGATGGGCAGCAAGAAAAGAAGTACAAAAGCAAAGACAGATTTCTCTTTTCAAAGAAATTTATAATCTGTGTAAATTGCATTTAATTAATTGGTTCTTTCTGTTGTAATTATTAAGTAATTAAGTTAAAATACCATTTTAAAGATAAAAACTAGTGCCCTACAACACCCTATCAGTTAGTGGGGAAAGATTAATAAGCAAGTTTAGGAGCTTTTATTTCTTTTTTAAAACTGTTCTACTACATTAATTAGTATTTTAGAATTTCCACCAGAATTAAGTGAAAAGAGAAATCAGAAGGAAGATGGGACTAGTTTTAGAGATAGTTAAAAGTGATTTATTTTAAAATAAATCAGCTATGGGTTGATTATTTCCCAAACAGGAAATATTTCCTGAATTGGTGGCATACAATTTTAGACACAAAACAATAAAGGGAGCCTACTTCAATTTAAACAGAATCAGTGAACCATGTTACAGGGCTATTCATCTTTTACAGCCACAGCAGCCCAAGAAATACAACAGCAAGGCCATAAATGTGATTGCTTCAGGAAAGGCTGTACAGTGCACCGTAAAAACATTTTACAACAGCAGGAATTCCTGGGTGTCGCTCTCCCCATTTTTTGGTCCATCTGCTTTCAAAGGGGGCAGGGGGATGGGCGGAGATGTTGTTAAACGTTCCCCGGGACTGCACAGCAATCAATCATCATCTGATGAATGGCCACTAAAGTTAAACCCTGACCCCACTCCACAATTCCCACACCAGCCCTTCTCTCCTCACTGCTGACCAGCTTCCAGCGTGCCCCCCCACCTTCCAGCCCTCACCAAAATTTCCCAAATACCAAGCCCCAGACAAAAGCAATGGAATGTAGTAGGGACCATGACAGAGGAGAATTCAGCAGAAACAGCATCTGAGGAGGCTTATCCTTACACTGCGTTTGAATAAATGTTCTTTCAGCAATACTCACGGTGCCCTTCTCCTCACAGCTTTCAAACACTTCATTTCTCTCACTTTCAGAGCACATGTGCATGCAAATGTACAATAAAGCATAGGAAATCTAATCACATTAAAAATTTGTTTTCTGTCATGACATTTTAGTATCTTGCAAGGATTTTATTTAAGCCTACAATGTCAAGAATTTGTACAAGGCAACAAAACATAAGGCCACATTATTTCTAAAATGAAAGTCTGATGCTCTAAAAAGCTACCCTGTAATCTTAACCAACAATAAAAGAAATCTACAGACAAAACATCTTGGTTTCTGCTTTTGGAAAAGTTTCAGTATGGTACTTATAAAGTTAACTTAGGCTGACTTTATGATAAAAACAAATTTTAAAAACCTTACTATAGTTAAAGTTTTCCATTACTAAAGGTGTTTTATTATCATGTTCCCTTGACAGTAACTCAAACACCAGTGGCTTTGTTAGGTAGTATGTAAGGCTTAGATGACTGAGTTTAGTATAAAGCAATTTTCCAATGAATTTTGGTCCTATTTCCTCAGCACTGTGGGGTTGTTTTTACCTTTTGCTTCCCTCCCTCCCTGAAGAAAAAGCTGCTTCCCTGCATG